AAGGAGTCAGCAGGGAGCTGAAGATGTGAAAGACGTGAGAGAGAGTCCTTGAAAGGTTAAAATGGTGGACTCTTATCTTATTCTAAAATGATCAAACCTATGACGAGATGGAAAGGCCGTAAAGGCGTGTCACCTCCCGGGGACAGCACCCGGCCGCTACCTGAGATGCATCGCTCTCTGCATGCCTCCTGGCTTTCGCAGCAGTTCTGGTTGCCTCTGCAGCCCCCATAGAGGCCTCGCACTGGCCTGAGAACACATTGAAGAAAAATCTTGGGAGCAAGGCTTTGTAGGGGTTGGGGTCCGCTCTGTATGCACAGAACTGGTGCATGAGGCCCGCTGTGGGGGGCAAGGGACCTGCAGAGAAGGAGCTGTCACACGGGCCCTCCCTGCCCGGTCCCCATGGCCAGTGCTTCCTCTTCCATGGCCCTGACCCTCAGAAAAAGTACAGTAAACAGACTGCTGTGAGAAACCATAAGTGTCATTGACAGCTGTCACCGGGGTGAAGCTTCTCAACTCCCCAAGGGAGAGAGGCTTTATCAACTAGGAAATCAACAGTCAATTAATTAGCTACTCAATCAATACTAATCTATACTAATAAAAGGGTAATATGCAAATTGGTCAGGACGCCCTCACAGTAACAACCAAATAGCAGGCTGCATGGAGGAACCAGGCCGGTAGGGGGGTTAGTGAGTGGCAACCGGGCTGGCAGAGGGGGTCAGTGAGGGGCAACCAGGCCAGCGGACATCCCCCAAAGGGTCCCGATTGGAGAGGGTGCAGGCTGGGCTAAGGGGAGCCTGCCTGCCCCCGTGCATGGATTTCATGCACTGGGCCTCTAGTTAATAATAATTATTATTAATAACAAATTAATAAATATTTTTAATGTTTAGATAATTAATACTAATTAATTAATCAACTATTAAAGAATAATATAGAATAATTTTTCTAGACTCTTGTCATTGCTTGCACCTGTAGCAATGGGCTGATGGAATTTAGTAATTGTAAGTTAATGTGTTGGCCTTATAAATAAGTAGAGACCTCTTTTTAAATTCAGCTATTTAAAAATATATTTCCCATTACCATTTATTCCCTCTATCCCCACATACAGAAACCCAATAACATTTTTAAATTTGATTTTTATCAAGTTTAATATTATTAGCAAAAGCCTAATTTTAAGCAAATGGCAGTTGTTTATAGAATCTATAAGTAAGACAGTGAAAACTGTAATTGGTGCAAAATGACTTAACAATTTTCCCTTTAGGCGGCAGCAGTGTTCTGTTAAATTAAAACTATAAATACATTCAAAAAAGTGTCTTAATGCACCACAAATAATTTACTTTGAAAAAAGAAACATGGATGCATGTCACTTTAATATTTTTCCATAAAACATTTTAAAAACATGATATAAAAGATAAGTTTGTACATGTATGACCATGTAAAAGGAAAATCAATTTTAGATTTCTTATAGTTTCAAAACTGAATTTTTGAAAGAGAAAAGATGCATATCATAAAAGTTGAATTAGGTAATTTTATCAGTTCTCTCCTACCCTTCATATTTCTGTCCTAATAATCAGTTGAATTAATGCCAAGTATTAATCATATTAAAGTAATGTTAAAACTCTTCATAACAAGATAACGGAAATGTTAGTTTTCTGTGTAAGTCATAAAGTGATACGTGGGCCTTGCAATCTTGGAATGGATAAAATATGGCTTCCTCGACATGAGTGGGCATTGTGCTGTTTGATTCATTCGACACCTTGGATGGACACGTGAAGTTTGTCTCAACCGCTAAGGCAGCTTTTAATTTTTAAAAAATCAGGGTATCGTTTACAAAATACTACATCAACCTTTGGCTAATTTGATAACCGAATTGACTATTCTCTCCCATTAAAAGACATCGAACCAACAGATTATATAGAACAGTAAACTTTCAGACTTAAAGTTTAATAAGGGAGATACCATGTACCAGATTTATAATAACACATAGATCTTTATCTACAAAAGACAGCACCCAACCTAAGTTGCCATGTGCATGCACAAAAACGCTCCTTATAAATCAACCATTTACGAGATTGGTTCTCACCGGGGACCCTCTAGCTTTTACTCTTACTGCATTTCATAGTCCCGATCATCAGGCCAATTCTTTTACATGTTCGGTATTGAGGCTATATGCCTACTCATCCCAAGTTCAACCTGCTTTTTAGTAGTTGTGCCACCCGGTGGCAGCAGTGCCCACAAAAATGAAAGGACAGCTTAGTTGTAGTAGTTCTAGGAATAACAGCTAAATGTGTACTGAGGAATCACTCTGCCTCAGACAGTTTGTAATTATATCACTTAATTACCACAGCAAATGGATGATCTAGGCAGTGTGATCTCCATGTTACAATTCACAAAATAGAAATTGCAGGAATTGCTCAATCTGCGCCCTGAGTGATGACTTGGGACTATCCCCTGTGGGGTTACAGCCGGTGTCCCCCGCGTTCTCAGTGAGCAGTGACATTGTCAGAGGTCTGTGCGATTGAGAGCCATGAACGGGCACTTAGGGAAAGCGTGCAGCTTGATTATATAATTTCCACTCAATCGTTTTTCTTTCTAAAATTCATTTTATAGAAACAACAGAAAAGCTTTCAATGATGAAAGTAGGGGATATTTTTACACCAATTTCCTAAGGAAACACTAAGGACTAACTTTCATTGACTACGTTTTATTAATGATTAGCTAATTATTCATCTCTCTGTTCCCATCTTGATGTATTTTTCCTTGGTGAATTCCAGATTTTGCGCGGTGACCTGTGACCCACACTTGAGCTCAGTGACCCTGGGGTGGGGGTGGCAGACATAGTACCTGGCATCCCACTCAAGAGAGATGGGGTCAGTCCTGTTTTCATTGCCGACTTGGGAGGAGCCACCTATATATATTATTGATTTCAGAGAGGAAGGGAGGGAGAGACAGAAACATCAGTGATGAGAATCATGGATCAGCTGCCTCCTGCACACCCCACACTGGGGATGGAGCCTGCAACCCAGGCCTGTGCTGTGACCAGAATCTAACCGAGGACCCTTCAGTCCGCAGGCCAGTGCTCTATCTACTGAGCCACACCAGCGTGGGCCGGGTGAGCCTCTTTGAAAGTCAACCATCTTGTGTTGAACGTGTGTCAGGCACGGACTGGCTTGGCAGGCATGTGGGAGTCGGTGTACAGGGTGGCAGCAGCCCCCTCTTTCAAGAAATAGTCAGAAAGTTGGGCTGCTGAGCAAATGTGTCCGAGCTACTTCAGCTTTGAAGGGTCGGGAAACTTTCCTGGGACGTGAAGGTGAGACTTGGAGAAAGTGTGGGCAGTGACCGGACTGAGCTAAGGCCGTGACACTGGAGAAGGCGTCCCGGCAGTGCCATGGGGCTGAAGGTGATGCAGCCAGGGGGCTGTCGCTGTCCCTGGTTTCTTGTTCTCTGCCTCACCGTGTGAGGATCATAGCCTCACCCCCCCGCACCCCCCCCAGTGCTGGAGGGAAGGCCTGTGATAGCATCTGGGGATGGTGTGTCCTGCTGTTGGAATCCTCACTGGCCTGGAACTTATTGGGAGCCCAGAGCCTGAGGAATGTACTAAGGATTGGCTGTTTGTTCACTCCCCGCGGGAAGCTGGCACTTCTCACAAAGGAGGATCGCGGATACGATCTCTTCAGCCAGGCGTGTCTTTGCAGTTGGTGGAACAAAGGCCGAGCGTGATGCTACTCCTGGTGCCATGGACCGGGAGTCGGGAGCTACAGAGCTCAGGCCTTCGGCAAAGCTGTGTGCAGAGCTCAGGCCCAGGGGCAAGCAGACCTGCCCGACTCTCCACCTTGTGAAGGGGACCGTCCCCCCTTCCCCCTGCCTGCCCTGCCCATCCTCCCTCCCCGGCAAGGGATGCTCTTAGAGTTCATCACCCCTGTGTTGATCTTATCATCTTTGTGTTTCTGAGAAGTTTCTCGATTTCGCCCTCCCGGCAGGTTGGCCTGATGAGAAATAGTTGACTAATGACTTGGGAGAAAAGCATGTTTTTCTATAACATGACAGGCCATTATTTTAATTAAATAGTGTAATTCTGCAAAATGACTTTGGCCTAAAGTGATAAATGATACCTCCCAAATGGAATGGGTACGGATATGGGATCGTGTTTAATTAAAAGATTAATTAAAAACCAAACAGCGGGAACTGGAAAAGACGCCCAGCCAGGCTGCTCACTGGTCTTCAAGTCCCGCTTGGTGCCCAGCTGGGGGCGTGCAGGAGGCAGCCACGCACTTTCTCTCCTCTCTCCCTTCTCTCTGAAATCAATAAAAAATGTCTTTGAAAAGTTTTAAAAGCAAAGCAAACAAAGGAAGAAACAAACACCCCACCAAGTTCCTGCTCAATGGGAACTTCACATCAAGGTTCGATGACAGTCAGGAGCTGGGGTGGAGGGGGTGGCTGTGCAGGTTACCTGTGCCGTCCGCGTCCTCCTCGTCCTCCCGCTCAGGAGCAGCATCCAGGGGGCGGAAGGCACCGCTGAGCAGCAGACACACGGAAGCCCAGAGGAGGGTTGTCTTCCTCATCGCGCCACGTCTGCAACACAGGCCGGACCTGGTGAGCCACGTCTGCAACACAGGCCGGACCTGGTGAGCCACGTCTGCAACACAGGCCGGACCTGGTGAGCCACGTCTGTAACACAGGCCGGACCTGGTGAGCCACGTCTGCAACACAGGCCGGACCTGGTGAGCCACGTCTGCAACACAGGCCGGACCTGGTGAGCCACGTCTGCAACACAGGCCGGACCTGGTGAGCCACGTCTGCAACACAGGCCGGACCTGGTGAGCCACGTCTGCAACACAGGCCGGACCTGGTGAGCCACGTCTGCAACACAGGCCGGACCTGGTGAGCCACGTCTGCAACACAGGCCGGACCTGGTGAGCCACGTCTGCAACACAGGCCGGACCTGGTGAGCCACGTCTGCAACACAGGCCGGACCTGGTGAGCCACGTCTGCAACACAGGCCGGACCTGGTGAGCCACGTCTGCAACACAGGCCGGACCTGGTGAGCCACGTCTGCAACACAGGCCGGACCTGGTGAGCCACGTCTGCAACACAGGCCGGACCTGGTGAGCCACGTCTGCAACACAGGCCGGACCTGGTGAGACCCAGACCTGGTGAATCACGTCTACAACACAGGCCGGACCTGGTGAGCCACGGCTGTAACACAGGCCGGACCTGGGAAGCCACGTCTACAACACAGGCCGGCCCTGGTGAGCCACGGCTGTAACACAGGCCGGACCTGGGAAGCCACGTCTACAACACAGGCCGGCCCTGGTGAGCCACGGCTGTAACACAGGCCGGACCTGGGAAGCCACGTCTACAACACAGGCCGGCCCTGGTGAGCCACGGCTGTAACACAGGCCGGACCTGGGAAGCCACGTCTACAACACAGGCCGGCCCTGGTGAGCCACGGCTGTAACACAGGCCGGACCTGGGAAGCCACGTCTACAACACAGGCCGGCCCTGGTGAGCCACGGCTGTAACACAGGCCGGACCTGGGAAGCCACGTCTACAACACAGGCCGGCCCTGGTGAGCCACGGCTGTAACACAGGCCGGACCTGGGAAGCCACGTCTACAACACAGGCCGGACCTGGTGAGCCACGTGTACAACACAGACCCAGACCTGGTGAGCCATGTCTACAACACAGGCCGGACCTGGTGAGCCACGTCTGCAACACAGGCCGGACCTGGTGAGCCACGTGTACAACACAGGCCAGACCTGGTGAGTCACGGGTACAGTACAGGCTGGACCTGGTGAGCCACGTATACAACACAGGCTGGATCTGGTGAGCCACGTGTACAGCACAGGCTGGACCTGGTGAGCCATGTGTACAACATAGACCCAGACCTGGTGAGCCACGTCTGTAACACAGGCCGGACCTGATAAACTGTGAGCTAGAGCAGGATGAGCAGGAATCAGAGGCCTCCTCCAATTGCCTGGCCTCTCACGGGTCTCCTCGTCCTCTCCGTCCACAAATGCCGGGGCTCACACACCCAGGGAACACAGTGAATCATATTCAAGTACCCGGGTCCCGGTGCAACTTGAAAATGCCAGTTAAAATGGCCACACTGGGGGACACGGTGCTTGCTGGCCAGCCGGCTGCATGTGTAACACAGGCCAGACCTGGTGAGCCACGTCTGTAACACAGGCCGGAACTGGTGAGCCACGTGTACAACACAGGCCGGACCTGGTGAGCCACGTGTACAGCACAGGCTGGACCTGGTGAGCCATGTGTACAACATAGACCCAGACCTGGTGAGCCACGTCTGTAACACAGGCCGGACCTGATAAACTGTGAGCTAGAGCAGGATGAGCAGGAATCAGAGGCCTCCTCCAATTGCCTGGCCTCTCACGGGTCTCCTCGTCCTCTCCGTCCACAAATGCCGGGGCTCACACACCCAGGGAACACAGTGAATCATATTCAAGTACCCGGGTCCCGGTGCAACTTGAAAATGCCAGTTAAAATGGCCACACTGGGGGACACGGTGCTTGCTGGCCAGCCGGCTGCATGTGCGTGGAGATGATCAGCGAGGACAGATCCAAGGACGAGCACAACCAAAGGTTTCCAGACAGATTCTCGCCCTGAGGAACCCTCGCTGCAGCAGCTGACAGACAGTATTAATTATAAAATAAAGGTACAGCGCACTCCTCCCCCCCCGAGAAAGACCGTCGTCACAGGCAGTCCATTTGCCATGTCGCCCTCACAGCTGCTCTCCTTTCTCAGGGAGAAGTACGTTGTCATTTCCCTGCATTTTCTATGAATCCAACTTTCATTCCCTGATCTGTCTTTCCCTTTGCTCTGGTTCTTTTGTAAAAAAGGAACACATTTTCTAAAATTTCACCTTTGTTTCCTTGAAAATACATTTCTGTTTTTGAACCAGTTCCCTGACCAGGCCTCCTGTGAAACCTCGAACAGAGCATCTGGCTGGTCCCTTCTCCCAGCTCTTCCCCTCCCTTGGGGGGCGTCGTCTGGTGCAGGAGGGGGCCCCCCTCCCTTGGGGGGGCGTTGTCTGGTGCAGGATTGGCTCACGGGGAGTGGTTCGAAGTGATGGGCGAACACACTGACGCCAAGGGAAGCAGCTCTAGCGAGGGAGTGACATTTCCTGTTCGAAACGATGGAAAGAGCCAGAGCAAAAGGTGGGAAAGCGTCCCAAAATAATCTGTGAAGGCCAGTTCTTCCTCGGAATCAAAGGTAAGAAGACACGTGCTGTGTTCAAGGGCATTATGGGAAGAGACGAGGAGGGCACGTGCTGTCTGGCCCTGATGCTCCACAGGCAGGCAGGAGAGAGACCCCCCCCTGCTCCACAGGCAGGCAGGAGAGAGACCCTCACCCGCGAGCCTGTGTTCGCAGGGACAGTGCTCTGTCAAGCACACGTCGGAGATCTTGTGTGAGTCCGTAGCATATGCAGCTACAGCTCACAGTTCCAAGGTGCAGGGGCCACGTGAGAAATAACAGCCATACATGCCGTTTTGCTGGAAGCTTCCTTAACGGCACTGATGAAGGTATAACCGACTTCCTCGCCGCCCTCTGGAAATGGGAAGACATATCTGCTTTGCAGGCAGGAGCAGGATTCCATGCTTCCTAAGCCACGGCAGACCCTGCTCGAGTCCACGCATGCCCGTGTCTGTGTGGCTGCAGGTGTCGTTTCTGAAGAGCCTGTTGGCGGAGCTTCCCATTCTGTCCTGTTGTTGGAAGGGGTTTGCGGGGCTCTGTGTGGTGGGTTCCCTGAGTCAGCCCCGTCCTGCGCTGAGTGGGAGAGGCAGCAGGGGTTCTGTCCGTGCTGAGCAGTGGGGTCGGGTGCCTGCGGAGGAACAGGACGCGAATGTGGGGTCTAAACCCACCAACTTAGTGTCTTTAAAAGCGGAGGCCTACACTATTGTCCAATGTTAGTAGTTTAATTTTATGATTTTTTTTGAAGAATAGTTTACTGATTTTGAGAGAGAGAGAGGGAGAGAGAGAAACACTGATGTGAGAGAGCAGCGTTGATTGAATGTCTCCTGCGCAACCCCCACTGGGGATTCATGTGCCCTGACTGGGAATCGAACTGGCAACCTCCTGGTGCTCAGGACGACACCCTACCAACTGAGCCACACCGACCAGGCAGTTTTAGTGGTTTTAGACTTTCTTGGTTGCAAGAATCAGAAGCCAGCTCGACAGTTCAGGTCAAAAGGTCATAAGCGCAGGTTTGGAGCTGGAGCTCAGAACCGCCTCGAGTCAGGGCCCAGCACCTGGGCCCTCAGGGCTGCTGTGTCCTTAGACAGTCATCGCGGGGCAATGCCTGCTCGGCGGGTCCCGGGTTGGTGGTGGGGTCTTACGTCACATCATGAGGATCTGCTGGGAGATGTGCTGACTTTGGAGACCACTGCTGAGTGCACAGCAGGCCGACAGATCAGCCTCCATCAGTGTGAAAGCACCACTGGAATATTTCCCTTACTGTTTGACTACAGTTTCCTGCTTTAAGATGGACTTGGTGAGCCACGTCGCAACACAGGCCGGACCTGGTGAGTCACATGTACAGTACAGGCTGGACCTGGTGAGCCACATCTGTAACACAGGCCGGACCTGGTGAGCCACGTGTACAACACAGGCCAGACCTGGTGAGTCACGGGTACAGTACAGGCTGGACCTGGTGAGCCACGTATACAACACAGGCTGGATCTGGTGAGCCACGTGTACAGCACAGGCTGGACCTGGTGAGCCACGTGTACAACACAGGCCGGACCTGGTGAGCCACGTCTGTAACACAGGCCAGACCTGGTGAGCCACGTCTGTAACACAGGCCAGACCTGGTGAGCCAGGGCTGT